AAAAAAAAAAAAAAATGCTCATGGAAATGCTGTTTATCATAATGAAAATTGGAAGTATCCCTAATAACAGGGGATTGGCCAACTCAAATTTGGATTAAATGTTAAAAGCGACATATTCAAAGAACACTTAACAAATAATGAAAATACACATGATTAATGTTGTGAGAAAATTGGGAGGGAAAAAATCATTTAGCAGCTGGGCGCAGTGGCACGTGCCTGTAGTCCCAGCTCTCCAGCCATTCAGAGGCTGATGTAGGAGGACTGCTTGAGCTCAGGAGTAGGAGACTAGCTGGGGCCATGCAATAAGGCCTTGTTTTTAAAAATAAGTAAATAAATCACTTGGTTTATCTGACAGTTCCTCAAAAGCTTGATCATAGAATTACCACATAACCCATTAATTCCATTCCTAGGTATATACTCAAGAGAAATGAAAACATATGTCTCCATAAGAATTTGTACGTGAATATCCATAACACCATTATTTATAATATTCTAAGAGTGAAAATGCCCACCAGTGGATAAATACAACGTGGTATATCCATACAATGGAATATTATTTGGCAATAAAAAGGAATTTGAGGTGATGAAAAGGTTCTAAAATGTATTGTGGTGATGGCCACATAATTGTGCATATTCTAAAGGCAATTGAATGATATACTTTTATTCATGGGTGAGCAGTATAGTATGTGAATGACATCTCAATAAAACTGTTTTGAAAACAAGGAAAAGTACTGAAACATGCTAAAAATGGATAAAACTTGAAAACATGATGCTAAATGAAAGAAGCCAGTCACAAGCCCACATGTTGTATGATTGCATTTATATGAAACATCTGGAATAGGCAAATCTATAAAGGCAGAAAGTAGATTATAGTTTGCCTAGGCATAGAGAAATAGAGGGATTGGAGGTTGACAGCTAAAGGATATGGATTTCTTTGCGGGGTGATAAAAATGTTCTAAACTTGATTGTGGTGGTGGGCAAGTCTATGAATATGCTAAAAACCACTCAATTTTACATTTTAAGTGGGTGATTTGTATGTGAATTATATGTGAATTATATCTCAAGAAAGCTGTTAAAAATATCATACTGGTTGAGCCTAGTGGTATTTTAAAAAGTATGAATATACATAGTCTGGGCGTGGTGGCTCACACCTGTAATCCCAGCACTTTAGGAGGCTGAGGCAGGTGGATCATCTGGGGTCAGGAGTTCAAGACTAGCCTGACTAACATGGTGAAACCCTGTCTCTATTAAAAATACAAAAATTAACTGGGTATGGTGGCGCCTGCCTGTAGTCCCAGCTACTCAGGAGGCTGAGGCAGGAGAATCACTTGAACCTGAGAGGTGGAGGTTGCGGTGAGCCACGATCGTGCCATTGCATTCCAGTCTGGGTAACAAGAGCGAAACTCCATCTCAAAAAAAAAAAAAAGTATGAATATGATATAGCTACTCAGGAGGCTGAGGGACAAAAATCACTTGAACCTGGGAGGCAGAGGTTGCAGTGAGCAGAGATTGCATCACTGTACTCGAGCCTGGGTTACAGAGTGAGACTCTGTCTAAAAAAAAAAAAGTATGAATATATACACACAAGAGAAAAAGACCAAAAAAGCCCCACTGAAATATTAATAATGTTTATCTCTAGGCTGTAGGTTTATAGATGATTTTACATTCTTGTTTTTGGATTTGCCACACTTTCTGCTGTAAAAATATGTGTTACTTTTATAATCAGAAAAACAAATATTGGCCGGGTGCGGTGGCTCAAGCTTGTAATCCCAGCACTTTGGGAAGCCGAGGCGGGCGGATCACGAGGTCAAGAGATTGAGACCATCCTGGCCAACATGGTGAAACCCGGTCTTTACTAAAAATACAAAAATTAGCTGGGCGTGGTGGCGTGTGCCTGTTATTCCAGCTACTCAGGAGGCTGAGGCAGGAGGATCACTTGAACCTGGGAGTTTGAGGCTGTAGTGAGTGATGATGGCACTTCTGCACTCCTGGTTCAGAGAATGAGAACCTGTTTCAAAAAAAAAAAAAAGAAAAGAAAAAAAGAACGGCAGGATCAGACTGGGCATGGTGATGCATGCTTGCCTGTAGGCTCAGCCTACAAGGGACACTGAGGTAGGAGGATCATTTGAGCCTGGGAATTTGAGTCCAGCCTGGACAACATAGTGATATCCTACCTTAAAAAAAGGAAGAATCAGATCATTGTTCCAAATCCTTCAAAATGAGTATTGAGTCCAAACTTGGCACTTTCCTGAACAGGGATGTGCCCTCTTCCTTCTTTAGGGAGAAGGACCCAGAAACTCACTCCTTCTCACTCAAAAAGTGAGAAAAATAAAAACAACTCAGAGCACTTTGAGCTATGCGAGGTATGCAGAATTTATCAGGCCCAGAGACATGAATATGGGACTTCAGGCAGGGCATGGTGGCCCATGCCTGTAATCCCAGACTCGGGAGGCCAAGGTGGGAGGATCACTTTAGTTCAGGAGATTTGAGACCAGACTGGGCAACATCAGGAGATCCTCGTCTCTTCAAAAACTTCAAAAAAAAAAAAAATACCTGGCATAGTGGCACACACCTATGGTCCCGAGCCCAGGAGGTTTAGGCTGCAGTGAGCTATGACCTTGCCAGTACATTCCAGCCTGGGGTACAGAGCAAGATCCTGTCTCAAAATAATAATAATATGCCAGGTGCAGTGGCTCACGCCTGTAAAACCAGGTCTTTGGGAGGCCAAAGTGGGCGGATAACTTGAGGTCAGGAGTTCGAGATCAGCCTGGCCAACATAGTAAAACGCTGTCTCTACTAAAAATAGAAAAAATTAGCCAGGTATGGTGGTGCGTGCCTGTAATCCCAGTTACTTGGGAGGCTGAGGCAGGAGAATTGCTTGAACCTGGGAGGTGGAAGTTGCAGTGTGCCAAGATTGTGCCACTGCACTCCAGCCGGGACGACAGAGCAAGACTCCATCTCAAAAAACCCCAAACCAAAACAAAACAAAAAACAAAATGATAATTATAATAATGAAACGAAAAAGAAAAATGAATATGAGACTTCAGTAACATTCTTTGTATCCATACCTGGGGGCAATTGTTTAAAGGCATTTTGTTTCTGACTAGCTTAACCCATTATCTTCCTGTTTCTGGAATTTATGATACAAAGAATAATGTATAGACAGCCAATAGCTTATGTTGTTTTAATATAAATTCTTGTGACCAGGGAAGCCGAAGTGATAGGATTGTTTGAGGCCAGAAGTTGAAGACCAGCCTCAGTGAGACCCATCTCAATTTTTTTACAAGGAGCAATTCTTGGTAAACCATTTGGGAACTGCCTCTTCTTTTCTCTTAAAAACAGCATCTCTGGCAAGATGCAGTGGTTCACATCTAATCCTAGCCTTTGGGAGGCTGAAGCAGGCAGGTCGCCCAAGCCCAGGAGTTCGAGACCAACTCTGACAACATGGCGAAACCCTGTGTCTACAATAAATACAAAAAAAGTTAGCTGGGTGTGGTGGCACGCGCCTGTAGTCTCAGCTATTCGGGAGGCTGAGGTGAGAGGATCACCTGAGCCTGAGGAGGTTTGAGGCTGTAGTGAGTGGTGATCTCACCACTGCACTCTATCCTGGGCAACAGAGAGAGGCCCTGTCTCAAAAAATAATAAAATAACAGAAACAGCATTTTATAACTGCCAGGATTACAGGGGTGTTGGCTCACACCGGTAATCCCAGCACTTTGGGAGGCTGAGGCGGGCAGATTATGAGGTCTGGAGTTCGAGACTAGCCTGGCCAACATGGTGAAACCCCATCTCTACTAAAAATACAACAAATAGCTGGGTGTGGTGGTATGCACCTGTACTCCCAGCTACGCAGGAGGCTGAGGCAGGAGAATCGCTTGAATCCAGGAGGCAGAGGTTGCTATGAGCTGAGATCATGCCACTGCACTCTAGCCTGGGCAACAGAGTGAGACTCTGTCTCAAAAAAAAAATAATAAAAATAATGAAATAACCGAAACAGCATTTTATAACTGCCACTAATTAAGAGTTTTTTTTTTTTTTGAAATGGAGTCTTGCTCTGTAGCCCAGGCTGGAGTGCAGTGGCACGATCTCGGCTCACTGCAACCTCCACCTCCCGGGTCCCGATTCAAGCAATTCTCCTACCTCAGCCTCCCAAGTAGCTGGGATTACAGGCACAAGCCACCATGCCCAGCTAATTTTTGTAATTTTAGTAGAGATGGGGTTTCACCATGTTGGCCAGTCTGGTCTTGAACTCCTGACCTCATGATCTGCCCACCTCGGCCTCCCAAAGTGCTGGGATTATAGGCGCGAGCCAGCGTGCCAGGCCAAGAGTGTATATTTAAAACAACTTGAATTTATGCTCCAACTTTCTAGGCTGAAGTTCTCAAATGTGGCAATAATAAACTTTTTGTTTTTTATTTAAAGAGCTCTGTCACTCAGGCTGGAATGCAG